GGTGAGTAATAGTGTACTTCAGTATTACTACGTAATACAGTATTTAAGTCCCCGAAAAAAAAGATACAAGCCCATCCACAAAACGTAAAATAGAAAATAATCCACTCCTTGTCACTTCCACAAGAACTTCAGGTTCTTTTTTTTTTTTTTTACATCAGATGCTATTTATTTAGCCTACTTCCCAAGGAGCGTAATCCCTATACAATTACCCTGTAGGATCATGTTAATACCCCTTGGAGGTGTTGGAAAGAGTACCGAGCCCTAGGCGACATCATGTCCCATTGCGGCCATATAATCTGCTGCTGAGTTTCCTCTCTAAGAGCAGGGGCGGAGTCAGAATTTTTTTATTAGAGTGGATGCGATAATTTTTTATATATTAATTTATAAAATTTTTAAATTTTATAAGTGTGAAATAATTTTTTATATATTAATTTATAAAAATTTTCAAATTTCAGGCGGTTGGTGCCCCTCCTCGCACCCCCCTCCCTCCCCCACTGCCTAAGAGAGTGCTGCACTAAATAGGAGTTAAAAGAATTAATCAATCAACGAAAGGATATCAGTGGCGAAAGAATTTTTTATAATTTGAGATTTGAGATTTTAACTAAGTATAATTGAAGTTTGGGCCTAGAATTATAAATTTTATGTAAGTTTAGGTCTTATTCGTTACTTTCGCCAATAATCTACCACCAAGAAGGTTAAAAGATTCCTTGCGCTTCTTTCTATGAACTGTCTTCGATTTCCCACCTCTAGTTCTCTGAGTCATTTTGTGTCACCCATTTAATTTAGTTCAGGTACACTTTTTTTTTATTTTTTTGATAAAGATAATGATTAAAAAATTAGTACAGTTAGTTGTTAGTAATTGAAACTTTCTAGAATGGTGAACAATCCACTCCCTCAGAAGAAATATGCGACTATTAGGTCACAAATTGATGAAGTTTACTATAATAATAAAATTCGAAACTCTGACCTCCGCCTCACTTAAATTCTAAAACTTGGGCCAACCTTTGGGTCACAAGCCCGGTTGGCGTTCAGGTACATACCTTGGGCTTGGATCAACTGTGAAATTGAAAACTGTGAAATATTATATGAACAAACCATCATTATTGATAGTACTAGACCATCGCGCGTGTTATTTGGGTTTTTGTGAGTAATTGCTACACTCAGTCCAAAATTTCCCCAATTTCTTTTCTTGGCTCCATCTGCATCAAATTTCAAACTTTCCATCATCGACACAATGCACCCTAAAAGGATTATCAAGTTGAGCAAGCCTCGGACCTTTTATGGAATTTATTTTTTATTTCAATTACATAATAAAAAATAATTATTTTGTATATTATATTTTATTTTATTTATATATTATGTAATTTAAAATTAAAATTAAAATTAAAAATTCCAAAATATGAACAATCCGTCACTATTGATAGTACCAGACAACCACGTGTGTTATTTGGGTTTTTGTGAGTAATTGCTACAATCATTATACCAGTCAAGAT